ATGCATTATTGGAAAAACATCATCAGAGTGTTTAACAATCATCAACAAGTGAGCGAGTCCAGTTTTACGCCGCTCTTAGCAATATTCCAGCAATATCATGGCAGGGGACGCCAGAAATGGGCTTCACACATTGTACCCAAGTCATCAACAAGTTACCATTCTGTTTCCATGATTGACCTTTGAAAACTGACAACAAAAAAATGCAATGTTCGTACCATTTTATGACATTGACAAGGTCTACTGTAAAATGCATCTTCAAATAAAGACACTTACCCCAATAAACTACGCCTAAGTCAAGGATATTTACAAATGTTGATAGTAGAATTAGTGCTATAAATCAGTCTGTTTCCATTTGGGCAGGGAGGCTGGGTAACCAAGGTAACATAGAGGCATTCCCATGTGAAGACCTGGATTTGATTACCCACATGGGTACAGTGCCTGAACTACAACCAATATATTTTCACATTTACAGCTAAACTTTCCTACAGTCAGATTCTCTGAGAACATTTTCTGCAGCCATACACAATTTGTACTTACACTGACCAACAGCAAGTACAAACTAATTACTCTGACTTCATAAAGTTTTCATCTTTAGAAACTCCCAGAAAAGAAGTGCAACCGTCGTAGAGGCCAGACGCAAACACTTGTTCAAAACTAATCACCAAACTTGTGTCCTGATACAGCACATTTAGTCTACTCATATGGACAACAATCAGCTGATCTGAACAGATTGACAGATTTTATACAGCCACTGTCATTTGTAAACAATGGTTGGGGTACTGTTCTAGTCTCAAATAAAAACTCTGAAACAAATATACTAAATACATGTACAGTCTAAGTAAATCTAGAATATGTGGCAAGTCTAGACGACCAATTTCAGACTGAAACAAAGGAAGTCTCTCGGCTCCTTTTTATTATATTTTAAGAGCATAATTTAGAAAACGTATTTTCTGTAAAATATGTTAATATCAGAGACTAGATGTAAGTCAAGCGCTGTTCTAAAAGAATTAAAATTCCTTAACAGGTTCAAAAGCACTACCCATGTGATGGGAATCCATGGATGATCAGTATGTACCAGTCACCTAAACCTGGGGATAATTAACTAGATTCTGATAGAAAGGCAAAATACAGTACGGTAGGGTGAGACACACAAGGTAGAGTAAATACTACAAACCTTCAGTGTGTTAATACCACCATGAGTTGAACAGCAAACAACAATTACCTGTGAGTTGGGCACGAGTAAATACTGCCATTGTCCATGCATGCAGGGATATGCAGGTCCTTGGGCAGAAAATACTCTCCACCTCATTACTGGACTGACCTCATGTACAGCACACCCAACTTCTAACACATCGCAGAAAATACTATCAAAATAGCACAAATATTTTGCCTTCAAAAACAGAATTTTAAACTTCAAGTTCACTGACCTCTGGGTGACAGTTAGCATCCACTGTTGTCGGACACTGAACAGTAAAAACACACAATGCCCTGTGGCTATTCACCCTTATCTTAATTGCCTCTTCCAACTTGGTTTAGAAATGCAAACTGTTCAAAAAGGAATCTTGATTTCTATCTGCTATAGTTGCAAACATGACGTCATACATCAAAATATAAATCAGTCATCGCAATATAGCTGGAATGTTGCTGAAAACAACCAACAGTCAGTCATCTATCTATCAATCTAGCCATGACACTGTAAATCTCAAATTTGGAACGCTTCATATACTTTTAAGATCACTTTAAGATCCATTGTGGTTACAATGACAAAAACAAAACCAAGCAGCTGCCTCACTGTGAAGATTGGTCATGAACTAAGTTTTTTATTTTGAGCTGGCAAAATGATTAATATCATTAGTATGACTATCATTACGTACACTCCATCCCACGTGTAACCACCCCTTTCAACTTCCCTTTCAAATTCTTTTATCTACAGCCTATAGAAGGTGAAAACTTCCACCCAAGTCGCATCAAACATACTCAGTTCATATTTCCTGATTTGATATGCAGAAATGGTAGAAACATACTATGGACACAAAATTCCTGATTGTTTTATCGCCTTTTGTTAAAGGGAATAAGCTTTCTTGAGAACATGCGTTATGTCTCCTAGAATCAAATGATTGAGAAATTGTGAAATATTGTATAGTTATTGTATATTGTATAGTTACCCAATCTGTTGGGTATTTTCAATAAAGTATGTTTGTTATTAGCATGATTAACCTCTCAGTTGGTCAGTCTCATTGTCCGCGAGCCATGTTGTTTTCCCCTCTGCCGTGCACTTACTGTAATGTTAAAGCCTAAAATGAACCAAGTCTAGATTCCATTCTAACTACAAAACATTGAATTACATAGCCTAACTGTCGTAGTTCCAGTTGGTATATTGGAAGCTGTAAAGTTTTGTAAATATTCCTAAATTGCATACAAGTAACAACAGGCAGTACATACGATAAACAATGTACAAATCCAGTGATTAAATACTGATTAGGCCAGACCAATTTTATTTCTTGTTTTACAGATTTTTGTCCTCAGAGAACCTAAAGGCAGGAGGGAAAAAAATTAAAAATCACCAAAGTAATATTCCTTTTAAATACTAAAAGTGTTTTATTTTTGGCAATTTATGAAGATTATATGGGGCAAAAAAAAACAATCAAAAATCTTTTTTGTAAGCTTACATTTTTGGCCAATGAAAACAGGATTTTATTTTTTGAGCGGTGAAAATTATATTTTTTCTTTCTTATTTTTGAAAAAATACGACCGGCAAATCCGTAAAACAAGAAATATAATTGGACTGGCCTTATCAATAAATACATATTGTAAAAACAAATTAACAGACTTACTTTTTCAAACAATTCATTACCTTTGGATAAACTTAAAAAACAAATATAGTAAAACAAAAAGTTTTATAAATATTACTGATTTTATGTCTTGGAGCATAACGGCCTTGTGACCTCAGAACACAACTATGTTGGTCATACAAACAGCTCAGACAGGAGCACCTCTGTGTACTGCTAGATCTACTGATCTATGGAATGTTGGGAGTGAAAAAGAGAATATGACATCACTCACTCCGCTGACAGGTAAATGTGACACCTGGAGCTCACCTGAATGTAGTGACCTTAGTGACCTCACTGACCAGACTGGTCAGTCAGCTTTCACACCTTGCCTTTGAAAGACCATGTGATCAGCTTCCAAAACAAACCACCATCAGGTAGACATTGACCTACTTAATCTAGGAATGACTTGAAGATGTACTATGGGGACCATACCATGATACGAATTACAATCAATCAATCACCTGTAAAAACTCTATTTGACTTCTCTCTGGCATTAACTATCTGTTTCTACATAAATTCTACAAAAAGCTGAAATGTCCTCAGATTATCTTAAAGGACCAAATTACTACATATCTGTCTATTTATCATTCAGTACAGCCTAGGAGCAAGACTAAATCTGCATTGACATGCTACCTAGTAACAATATCAACACACTTTTATAACAGAAACAACTTTCAAGGTAAATATTTTTTCAAAGTTTACTTGGCCTACACAGTTTTGTTTCCTCAGATCCCACCCAGACATGTCTTGTCAAACCAGTTTGTTATTGAACTTCAACAATCAATACAAATGCACTGAAAAACTCTGGATTTAATGAAAGAACCAGGTCACGCTGACATTTCAGAAGTGCCCTTGGGCTGACTGAACAAAGAATGCTATCATGCAGGAACCTGAACCTAGTTCATACTGTAATAATATTGTTAATTCACTGGGAAGTACACGATCACTGGTAGCTCAATGAGACAACCGCATTAGAGCATTGAATTGTGCAATCATAAGCACTGGACAAGTCATATGAATGTTTCCTTTATGCAGGCCAGGAATAACAATGCCCTGTCTGAAATTAAAAGATTTAAATAGAAACAATTCCTTTTAATCAAAGGGAAGCCTCGGTGATATGGGAACCTGAGGAACATCTACAAATGCATTATTAAGGCTTTAGGATAAGGGCTGGGCGGAAGGGAAGATGATTTGGTTGAGGGCTTGTCGAAACAGGCTAGAAGTCAGGTAGGTGGGTGGGTGAATCACTGAACCAGATCCACATGACAGCAGCGTCCTGCAATCCACATGTTCAGCCAGATGTTCAGATAATACAGATGCTGGGACACAATGTTCCTGTGACAGCCAAAACATCTAACTGGTGTGTCTAATAGATTAATGAATTTACCTGTTATTCACAGAATAACTTGATAAACAGACCAGGTGTCAGAAGTACTTATCCTGAATGGGGATTTGTTTGGGGGTCGGTCATACTGACCAGCTGCTATGTGAAGACTTTGTGGTGTGAGCAAAAGCAGATACACAAATCTATTGTCCATGGGTTCACAAATCCATTGTGACACCCAGCAATATTCTAGATGACTGACTGACTGAGTTTAGTTTTACGCCGCTTTTAGCAATATTCCAGCAATATCACGGCGGGGGACACCAGAAATGGGCTTAACACATTGTGCCCATGTGGGGAATCTATTCTAGATGAAGGTCTATCTGATCAAGTATTGATAACACAAGAGATCGAGCATCAGTCAACCCCATTAGGACATATGGCCTGACCAAAACAAAAATATGTCCCGAAATGAAATATATGTTATTATGTACTTGGCATCTTTTGGAGACATTCCTTGAAAAAATAAATTCTAAGACACACATGCACACTGGAGAAAATACGACATGGCTTCAACTTGAAAATGTAAAAACAGAAATGGTCTTATTTTAGTGGATGTAACAAAGCAGTTCCTATAGCCCACATGACCGACTGTAAACACCGACGTACAGCAGACGTCCATATTTAACATGGGAAGCCAATACCAGTCGTTGTGACAGTAGCACATGTGAACTGAAGCCGTCAGCGGTACGATGCAACACATGCTCATCGCAGACGTCTGATTTCGGTCAGCAACCCATCTGACATTCGTTATTAAAGTGAAACAACTATTGAATCATACTTACTTTGACTGCCACTCGTCACTTGATTCCTTATATCTGTTCAATTCAATTTGTAAACGAGCCTTTTCTTTGGCGGTATCATCCAAGAGCTTCCTTGCGTCAGCTAACTCGCTTTCGTAGAGTGACTTAACATTCGTCACCTCCCGTTTCACAACTTCTTCAGTAGATCGCACTTGAGTAAACAACCGACTATTTTCCGTCTCCAAGTGTCGTACTCTGTCGATATAGGCTGCCAGACGGTCATTCAAGTTCATAAGCTCTTCTTTCTCTTGCAAACGAACCCTTCTTGCCGGTGATGGAGGCCTTTGCCGGCGAGGCGAGGACGCGCTGGAGCCAGGCGACTCGATCCCAGAGTCGGATCGGCTGGTGTAAGTGGTAGTTGTGGTTTTCTTTGTCCTGGACGCCATGACTGTCGCCTTTCAACTTACGAGCAATGAACGAAACGGTAAAAATCCACCTAAATGCAACCCTTATCTCGCAAAATGGCCGGCTTCTATGCAACAACGTGCTCCCGCCTTTCTGTCACGTGACCACGCACCTTGTTGGTCCCAGCCCACACTTCCGCATCAATGATTTTGTGGGTCAATGAAGCGTCCTACACAAGTAAACCGGGATGGGGTGCTATGCGCACTGAAAAGCGACATGTGCTCTATTATAATTGATATGTAAAACTTTACAGAGTAGTCTTTATGTCCAGGGTTTTTCGTGTAATAACTTTAGATCTTCTGGTTTTCATGCCTATTTACTATGAATGACTTCTACCTATCGCCCAAAATGACACCGCAGAGCGACAACACTCGCGGAATCAGCGCCTGTTGAAAAGCCACGCCCCTTCCATTGTCTCAAGTGGCTGATTCATATGTACAAAAGGGGCGTCGCCGATTGTTTAATAAGTGAATAAACGTTCATTCACAGTTTTCCGTACATTTACGAATGTGAATACACAAGCTTCGGTAAACATGTCTATTTGGTTCCAAGGACCGCGTTATGCTGCAAGTACTGAAACAACCATTTAGACTAGACAGGTCGGAAAGTTCAAAGCAACACAAGCTGTGTCAGCGTCACAAAGGGTTACTTTATACAATAGCCTTAGGCAGTGAGCATGAAGTCACCATACATTCTCAAGCATGCGGCAATATAATATATAGTAAAAAACGTAAGTCGAAAGCTACCGGTTTCCCAACGTGGCATTTACAAACGTCATATATTTCTGTTTAGTGCTGTATATATTCATCAGTTTCTTTTACCTGTTTTTGATGCATACTGTACAGTGCTATTTGTTGAACAAGGTGTCCTTAAACTTTAACCTGACGATATCTGTAACCATATTACCGAATATCTGGTAGTATTGAATTAGTATCTTATATAAGCTTTGTTTTACATAAAATACCAAAACATATGTGTCTGTTGTTGGTATCATGCAATATTTTCTGCCTTTGCATTGAAGTGGCCTTGGTGTATAAGGCATTGACTTAGTTGCGATCCATTCAAAGTTCTTTTGTGAAATATATACTTTTAAAACATAACGAAAATGTAAATGCTACAGAATACAAGTAGTATCACAGTTTATTTAGAAGAAAAGAGGATGTATATTTGTTAAATGGTCTGAGGTAAAACTATTTCATAGAATTTATTATTTGTCCTTCACAACTTCCTCGTTCCCCGAAACATTTAAATGATGCACTTTTTTATGTCATGTCTACTGGCTCTGCTCACAGGAGAAAACAATTCTGTCACATCGGCAGGTTCGACACCTGAATTAAATATCGATTATCAAGCTGTTATAACAGATGTCCAAATGCCAATCAATCGTGAATCGATGTCAGTCGTGAACGCATTGATTGTTAAATCATTTGCCTTCGTGTTCTCATATTTGGAAAACTGCTCAATTTAATGACGAAATCGTTGTGACCTAACACTGTAGACGAAATGTATGGTGTGTATATAACTGGTATATTATCGTTAAGAGGCTTGCAGTGAAGTGTGATAGGTTCGTGGAACGGTAGTGCTCGTTATCTGGATTTCCAATTAACCTATAACCACTTCCGTGTCACCAGGGGGCGGTGGGCAGCCTAGGGGTTAAAGCGTTGGCTCGTCACCATGAAGACCCGGGTTCGATTTCCCACCTGGGTACAATGTGTGAAGCCCATTTCTGGTGTTCCCCGCCGTGATTTCGCTGGAATATTGCTAAAAGTGGCGTAAAACTAAACTCTTTCACTCACTCCGTGTCACCATAAACAGACAGAACTGCATGTGTATGCTTAGGTCTTCCATAACTTTCTGCGACCTGGGAATACGCACGTTGCCTTTTACCATGTTAAAAAAGACGAAAAATATTGCTGAATGTAGATTGTCGACTATTCATCAATATAGCTCATAATTATACCATATGAATATTGTGACCCGAGAAAAAAACACACTGACTAGACTGTGTGTCTTATGGGGGGAAAACATCGACATTTCACACAAACTCACGAAGGCGTCACCAAACACTGAGGCATAAGCTAAACCTGGGTTCGTGACGGCCGGCCCCACTCAAAGCCCTGACGTCACACCTCCCGCCACATTCTCGGCATATTTGACAGTTATGAGGTCGGGATTATCTTTCCCGTAGCAATTTTATTTACCTTACGCCGGTAATACACACAACCGTAAATATAAATAAATATATAAATGTCATTCCCTCAGGGAACCTGACTCTCTTGGTTATTTAGATTTAGTTGTATATATAGATTATATAGATCTGCAGAATATACATATAATCATTGGACTTGCACAAGTTTTATGTTCTGTTTGCTGAAATTCTTCAAAGGCGTTTAGAAGTTGGTGTAGTAATACAAGACAAATCTTATCCATAAGATTTATCTTGTATATGTGTTTGTTGCTTAACGCCGCAATCAGCAATATTACAGCTATATGGCGGCGGTCTGTAAATAATCGAGTCTGGACCAGTGATCAACATCATGAGCATTTAGCTAAGCAATTGGAATACGATGACATGTCTCAACCAAGTCAGTGAACATGACCTCCCGTTAGTCGCCTCTAACGACAAAACAAGCATGGGTTCCTGAAGATCAATTCTAATCCTGACCCTCACGAGTCAGATTCGTTGCAGAGATTGTGTTCAAGAAATAATGTGACAAATAACGGAACACACGACAACATAAACTGGCGGGCGATAGAAAGTATACACATGAAAACTGGATTTTGTCCAAGCACAAAAAATACTTCAATTATTTTGTCTCTACTCACAAATTTTAACTGCCTCCAGTCATGCGTGTCAACGTCTGCAAGAGACTGCAATGAAAAAGGTCTCAATCCAGGTCGCTCGCCCTAATACCAGATGCCATAGAATATTATATGGTCTCTACTAAGACGATATCACCATACGTTTTTGTTCTTCAGTCGATGTCCTGATCCGAACGCTTCACATTGCAATAACCATGCATATACCATGTGTGTTTCATTTGTAATCGAAATAAAAAGATGGGCGTATACTTTCTTTAGCCAGTTTGGCTCATTTCAGTACAAAGTGCGCAGCTGCGTTCAAAATAGACGTTTTGTTCATCAACAAAATATGTAACAGAAATCTACACTTGCCATATATAATGGACCTGCATGGGCAAAATGTGATATATTTTAAGGGTCTGTTTGACAGACTATAGCTGAAGTAGGAAGAAATCGATAACTGCACGAACACCATATGCTGTTCCAGCGAAACACCTACCAGAGCATGAAGCGTGACCATACATAATTACGGTCATGGGGTCACTTAGCGCAGAGTTTATGGTCGAATTATAAAATCTTCCAATTTTGTATAAAAGTGATGCTATGAAAAAAGGTTTATCAGCCAGTGTAACAAAATGTCAAACACCTCAATGTGGAACTTGTTCAATCATAACTGAAGACTGCAAATTTACATTTTGTGAAGGCAAACTATTTACTGTCAAAACCACCATGAACTGCCGCAGCAAAAATGTTATATATGTTTTATTTGTTTTCTGTTGGGCAAATCCATTAAGCAGATGCAGGTGACAGCATGTAGTTAATCTGTGCACTGGACCATAACATGTTTTGTTTTAAGCTGTAGTTCTTATGGGATGTAGTTCTTATGGGGGGACACCGTTCCGGGGGCATCTTTGTCTCTGTGCATGCATGGCGTCAAAGGTAAGGGATCTTGCACCTGTCCCGGAGTGCTCCCATACCCATGCAAGTGGATGCAGGTCCCATGCACATATATGGTGATTCATCGTGGGGCTTGTCTTGCATGCAAGCCTGCTTTTCGGGAACACCTTTTCACCACAGAGAGGGACCTGTTAGACCGGCATCACTTTGGCTCTCCTACACACATCCAGCTGACACACGGTATAATGGGAATAATGCTCAACGCGGCTTTAAACCAAACTTGATTTGAAACCACAGGACGCCCACAGGACGACCACAGGACGACCACAGAACGCCCACAGACGCGTGCAGTTATGGAATGAATTTGAAGACATCAATATATGAAATGTAAAGGTTTCCATAGAAACCACCCAAATCTTGATTGGAAAGCTGAATCCTTTGTGTGGTGTGGATATATTGGACACGATGTGGCGACCATGACAACCAAATTGTTTCGCAGGACGAAAGCTAGGGGGGTGTCATGTTATTATATACCGACAAAGCATGAACAGAAACTATCTGCATCCTTGTGTGTGTGTATGTGTGTGTGTGTGTGTGTGTGTGTGTGTGTCCTAGTGCAGAATAATACTATTATTATATACCGACAAAGCATGAAACAATCTGCAACCTTGTGTTTGTGTGTGTGTGTGTGTGTGTGTGTGCGCGCGCGCAACAAAGAAGTTGTAATCATCTGTATTAATAAAAATTATCTTGACCCCTTATATATATAATTACTTGAAAATATGGCATTGTAATTGCTCAGAAATGACAAATTGCAAACAGTGATTGTTTTTTAAAATCTAGTAGCTCATACAGATATCGATATGATCATCGATTTGATTGGTCGGGGAGATGCTTACCATGTATACATGACACGTACTGCAATAGTTACACATGTTTAGAACATCTGTATCAAGTTTGTGATATTTGTGTGCGATATGCACGTGTTCGTATTTGTAACGACACTTATTATTATTGAAAATTACAAGCCCTGCATGTATGGCACAGCCTTTAGAGAACACTTATGACATGTTGTGTCAAAATCGAAGTGGCCATGCACAGAATTACACTGTAATGAGGTCGCTTGCGCCAAAACGCAACATCTATTGATCCCCGCTATATACAGGTGTGATATTCTAGACTGTCCACGTGCGACTTGTCTAGAGCTACACCTGATTGTCCATTCTACGGGCATAGCTAGTCAATTGATTATTTCTAGGGGCTGTCATTAATGACCGATCATGCGCGTTGAAATGGATTGTACAGTTGACCACACAACGCAAACATAAACTGGGTTCGAATGTCAAACTGAGCTCGCTGGACTTAATTTGTTAAAGGTCGTTGTCCAGTGTGTAACGCCAGTATGGCATATAATCTATACGAT